ATAACTAAAGACAAAGCATCAAAGTGCCGAACCTGCGCCCGTCGTCTGGATGTACTAATTTCAGAAAAAAAGAAAAATCTCAAGAAGGTCCCTTCTGAAAGCATCTATGCAAGGCTGCAATTGTAGGAAATTTTAGCAGCTCAGCGCAGTCAAAAAGCTAAAAACAGGCCAAAATGGGCCAAACGCGTCTGGCACTCGAGATGGGCACGCCGTTCCTGGGCGCATCCAGCACCAATAGCAGCAAAGAAAAAGTTTTTACCGAAATGAGCAGAGTCTCAAGCAGCACGTGAGGGCTTGTGAAAAAAAGAAGCGTGAACTAACCAGTGGGCAGTTTGCTGGCAGCATCCGGGCCCTTCCCTTTCTTCTTCCGCTTCCCAATTCGAGTCGGAATTGGCGCCTCATACTTCCGCTTCTTATCCTTCAATACAAATCTTTAAACCAGCGCAAATTAGCAAAGCCACTGAGGCACCCCGATTCTCTGTCTGGTTCACCGTTCTAGCAAGCTCCTCGGCATGCCAACTTTTCACAGACTAAAGCACATCTCTTTCCCGCCAGGCCTGCACCCCAGCACCTCATACATATTGGCAGATATTTTGGGCAGGACGAACAAAAAGCCAACCTTGTCCGCATCGCCGGCGCCTCGGTCCTCACGCTTGCCGCCGAATCCGGACTGCTGCTGCCCCATTTCTGAAATGACCAGATCAGCGCGATAAACATGCGCCAGCTGGGGACCTGCCCAGGCGATCTAGAGCCACTTAAACTGGGAACGCCATCCTCAGCAAAATCCCGCAGCCTCCGAGTGCACGACCGCCTTACGGATATCTCGGACCCCTCTGCATCCCCAGCATTTCCAAGAGCAGAACCAGCAACACAAATTCGTCAAACCAAACAACGGGCCGATTACTAACACCCAGCCCACCCGGCTCCGGTTGCCGACCTTCGCAATTACCAAACATCGGCAGCAATGACAATAACTCGGCTCGGCTGATGATATATGGTGCGTCAGCCGTCCAGCGCTTCGCCCTGTCATCTCTGCCAACACTAT